AGTGCCGGGGCTGGAAAGAGGCATTCTTCCCAGCTGAGTTGCAGGGCACCAGGAGGCCTTTTAGGAATAGATCAGTGGCAGAGAAAGACCCCATGTGCTGTCATGGAGAACATCTAAAGGGGGATACTCTGTCCATTGCTACATCCAGCATTTCCTTCCCCGAGGGACTTCAAATGTCATCTCATAGTATAAGCCTGTTAGGACTTGTACCAAGTCCATGAGCTGTGGGACAAAGATGTCCATCACTCAGCCTGCAAATGGACCTGGACAAGAAACTCATCCTCCTCCTGCCCTCCCTGTGAACATGCTAATCCTAGTTAGTGCAGGAGTGGGCCCCATAAAATGACAAATTGGCCTTTTGGGGGAGCAAGGGGAGAGAAAGAGAAATCCCTCCCACATCCAGCAAGGTTTTCCTGTTACAGCACTCCTGCTGATTCGCTCCTGTTGGGTTTGGAACCATAATGTGCTGTTGGAGCAATGCAGCCTTGTTTTTCAAATAACGTGTCCTTCCAGGTGGCACTTGGCCCAGTAAAGCTGCCATAGCGTTGTAACCGGAGAGTACTGCGATGTCCTGGAAAGAGTCTGCTCTTGTTCTCCCACACGTGTGTTTGGGAAGAACAGAGGATGCACCGGTCCTTAAAAAGGGGGGAAAAAACATTTTGGACTGGGATTTCATGCCCTTTTCCTGGTCTTGGTGTGTCTGTGCTCCCTGATGCTTCATCGCTCTGAAAAACTGCATTGTTGTCCTTTTTTGCAGGATTTGCAACTTGTCACCTAGCCACCATGAACGATAAGCATTGGGATGCTGGAGCTGTGCAAGGTCAACGCTGTCTGTAAAAAAGTCCTGAGGGTGTATTTAGTGCTCATGGGCAGCAGAGGCATTGCAGGGTGGTAGCCTTGGTCATACCCCAGGAGCTGTGCACCTGCAGACAGGGAACACCTGGAGACTGTGGCTTGTGTTGGGAGAAATCAGCCTTTGGGTAGCCCTCCAGGAGAGGGTGGATCCAGCTCCAGGGCTGCCCTGAGCCTCGTCTGTTCACACAACCTGAGGGTCTTGCAAGTACATGGACAATGTGCCAGTGGTCCATCTGGTTTTCCACACCAAGAGGTGCCGCTAGGTTGATGTAAGTTGTCTGTATCTCTCCAGGCAGCTTTGGTTGCTTCCTTGTGTCCCATGCCTGGGGTAAGGCAAGCTTCTGCCATCCTCTTTGGTCTCACATGCACTTTTTGGGCAGTCTTTCTTTTTTTTGAGCATGGAGCCAAAGGATGACTTGCCCTCTTGCCAAGGACAGGTGAAAATTTGTTGCCCTGTCTTCCAGTCTGAAACCAGCTCTTGCTTATCTGTCCACTGTTGTCCTGGCAAGATTAATGTTCTAAGCACAAGGAGTTTGTGTCCAGGCTCCTGAGCCTTTTCTGGGGCTTTTTTGTCACTTTCATCAAATAACACTCATGTGGGAGTTGGAAACTCCAGCCAAAACTGCCTGGTTGGGTCTCTGTGAAGAAAAGCACTGCAGAACAAAACAGGGTACACGGAGAGGGGGGTGAGGCTCAGGAACTTCATGTCTAGGACTGCTCTACCATCAGCCAGGGTTTCCAGCACAGAAAGATGTGCTCTTAGCTGGTGGGACGTGTGGCATTGGTACTATGCACCCTTGCTGTGCATGCCCATGCTCTGTGTGCCGCCTCCTGCACAGGGGCATACTCCTTGCAGAACACAGTGATCCCTTGTCCTGGCTGCTGGCAGGGTCTGGAGCCAGGGCATGGCTGTTGCTGCTGCTCCTACAATGTGCCAAACGTCTGCCAAGCCTGGGCAGGTGGCTGGGGTTGTGTGGTTTTTGCCATAGTCAGAAATCTCAGCTAAAGCCTGATGTGCCCAGATATATGAAATCTTGCATGTGGTTGTACCTGAGACCTGGCTCGTGACTCCATAGCCATGGTCCACAACCTGCTTTCCTCCTTGCGATGCTACGGTCAGGGCCTTTCCTGGGCTGTGAATGCACTGCCACCTCCTGAGCCTTTCACCCCTTTTTTCCCCAGCTGCTTCATCCCCTCTACAATTCAAAATGTAAAGCCCCCACCCCTGTAACAGCAACAAGGAGCTGGCTGCATCCCTCACCCTGCTCCCTCCCTGTCCTTTGGGACATCCTTCCCAAGGGAGGATGTGCCCAGGCCCGACCTGCACGGATAGACCAGGCAGGGAGTATTCAGAGCATTTCTGTTAACCTGTAGCCAGGCGAGAGCTACCAAGGAGGCCACACTGAAACCCAAAACAGCTGGTTTTCCCAAGACTCAGCACTTGGCAGGGAGAGCAGACAGACAAGTGGTGGAGCAGGGAGGGAGGCAAGGTGCCCTGGGGATCAGTGCTGCTGTGGAGATGCCCAGAGAATGTACACAAGGAAGACAAGCTGGCTTACCTGTTTGCTGCTGGACATCCATCTCCATGTCCTCCTTGTCTGAGATCATGAGGGGAGCTGAGAGGAGGCTGGGGTCATTGCTGACACTTCTGTCCTTATGTGTGGCTCTTTCCTTGGTCACCGTCTTTGTGCCATGTGCTGAGCATTTCCTTCAGCGGGGACAGGCACTGGGCTGATTTTCCTTTTGTGTTGCTCTGAAAGGCTGATAAATGGTCTGAATGTCCCTCTCGGCTCAGCCACTACGGTGTTCAGCTGCACCAGCTCGCCCTGCCTGGACCTTTTTTCCTTTATAACCCAGCCTTATCTCAAGGTCTCTGGCGTTGCAGCCGGTGCTGTGTTTGCCTTGCCTTACAACACCTGCCTGCCAGCCGCTCGCTTCCCACCCATCTCCCTCCTGGGTGGTGGTAGGGGGGGGCCAGGAGCCCTCGGCATGGGGCGAACCCCTACAGGTCTGCGAGTCCATCCCAGCGCTGCCTGACCCCAGGGTGGTGAGGACAGCGGGTAGCAGGAAAGTTGCCCAGCACAGAATGGTGGGAGAGATATTTGGGGGCATCTGTCCCATTGCCTTTGCTTCTCTGTCCCTATCAGCCTTTCTGCTGGAGCAGGGCTGGGCATTACATTGAACTGGGGATTGGGACACTGTCCCAGCCCAGGTCTCTGCTGCCAGAACCGGTGCTGGATGCATGGCTGAGCCGCTGTGCCCTGCCCTGTCCCGGCAGCATCAGCCCCTCCAGTCATGGGGAGTGCCAAGACTCCATCCTGTTCTGAGATGCAGTTAAAAATAGATCAGTTGTGAACTGGTTTTCTCCTCCTTGGTTCCTGGCCTGGGAGCTCATTCCTCTCTCTGGGCTGGCTTTGAAGCTATCTGGGTGCTGCGAGACACAGGCTCCGTGCCAGCCTGCCATTGCAGGGAGTCTTGGAGAGCAGAAAGCTGCAGAAACATCATAGGTGGCATAGCTGTCCCCAAAATATTTAGTGGTTAGTGAATGCTTTCTCCCCCCAAAAAAAACATTGCTGGAAAAAGAATCTGCTAAATAAATGGCAAAGTGAAACTGGAATAGGAGGGGCTGTTTGCTCCTCCACTTGCACTTGGTGCTCTTGAGGCCATGGGCACCCGTGTGCTCCTGGCCAGTACCGCTGACTTTGGGCTTTGAAGTGATACTGGATGCTGGCTGCAGTCCCATGGCTTCCTAGAAAACGACTGCTGAGCTGCAGCCTCCTCTCAGCCCCAGAGCAATCCCACCAGCTTCTCCGCCCCATGGCTCTGCAGGAGCCCCTGCATCCTGGTCTGGCTGGGCTGCTCATGCTCCCCAGGAAAAGGCCATGTCTCCTGCTTTGAGACTGGTAAACTGGATCTCTGTCTTCTTGTAGCCCTTTTCTGTTCTTCTAATTCTTCAGTATCATTTTTCAGGTGTGCACACTGAATCTGGAGACAATTTTAAGATGCAGCTGTGAAACCTATTATCAGTGTCCCTGCTATCAAATACACATGGTTCAGGGCTGCATGTAACCACTGAGTGATTATGTGGCAGCCCTGGTGATGAATTACAACTGAGACCTCCTGGGGCTATATAAATATCGGCTGATAACTACTGATAAAATGAATTTCCATGTGCTTTTTTTAAAAGCATCCTGCCAGTATCTGTGCCCGGTTGTGGTGCTGCACATCTCCCAGGGGAAGCTGTTTTAACTATGGCATTTCAACCCCCCAGCACCTTGGGTTTCCGAACAGAATAAAAACAAATAAATCTGTTTTGCTGCAAGAGCCAGGCAAGGACAGGGAAAGGCAAGGCAACACAGAGGTGGGCAGGGAGAGATACAAGTGTCAAGAGGAGGTTTTTGGGAACAGCCAGTGGGGTGGGGTCCCCTAGGGTGATGTGAAGGAGAGCAGCAGGCTGGCAGTGTGTCACCCAGCACCCTGCCCAGAGACAACGGGTGCCAGCCCATCCACGCAGGGTGCACAGCACAGTACACCCTGTGCTTCTGCTTTCCAAAGGTAGTTGGGGAAAAAAGAAGAGAATACATTTATGGAGCTTCTTGGAAAAATGGTCTTTGCCAGTGACTTTGAGAGACTTCTGAGCAGGTTTTGTCTGTGCTGGTGGTTTGTCTGGGGGCTGCTCTTCTCAGCACGTTGCTGTGTGGAGGCAGTGGCAGGAGGGCTGGTGCTGTACGTCCCCGGGTACAGTTTTCCCACTGGAGCTGGCTGCGGAGAGCAGCTGCACCGCCAGTGCAAAAGCATTTGGCTGAACATCCCATTCGCCTGGTTTGTGAGTGAAAATAAGGTTTGTCTGATGGCCAGCTCCACCCAGAGCAGAAAATCAGACCCTTTGGCAGATCCTTGCTACTCTAATGAAATTTAGCTGTGCTGAGACTGCCAGTCCTTGAATGGGAAGAGTCTCACGTCGGTTCAGAGAAATCTGGGGACAGATCTGTCACAACTGCAGGGTTTTTGGCACTGCTTGGGGACACCCACCACAGGCGAGCATAGCCCTGCAGCTCAGCCCACCCTGAGCACTGATTGCACTTCATCTTCTCCCCACAGTGAGTCCCCCCAGCCCTGGAGCTGTGAGGTCTTGCAGAGCCATGATGAAGCTCCTGCCCATTGCCTCTCTCCTCCTGTTTCTCCTGGTGATGCTGGAAGCCAGACCAAAACCTGCAGGTGAGCCCCAGCCGGTGGGGATTGCCTGGAGGAGAGCGAAGCAAGTGTATCGGGGCAGTGAAGTCCTCAGAGGGTGGCTTGCTGCTTGAGGTGGGGGAGATCTGATGCCTCTTCTTTGGAGACTTCTCCAGGAGGCTGCAGAATCCCCCCCAGTGTGGGACCTGAACTTCCCAGCACTGCCCAGGGTAGTGGGAGCCAAGCCTGGACCTAGTATAGTGGGGCTGGTGCCACTTGCTCCGGGCACATCCTCAGCTTTGACGCAGCCCAGCTCTGGGCTTGTCACCCTCCTGCCCATGGGCTCTGATCTTGGCAGGAGACACAGGTGTAAGGGAAACCCCCTCCCTGCATGGGTCTCCTGATGGAGGGGCACAGACCAGACCCAGGGGCACCAGCCTCTCCTCCCAGAGCAGAGGGAGCTGCATCCATTCCAGTTTTAAAACAGTGAAGGCACCAAACAGAGAAAGGAGTGGGTACATCTTGGAGACCTTTGGAGCAGTTGAGATGACAGCCTGGGTCTGGGCATGGTCCCAAAGGGACTCAAAGTGTTTGCCTACCATTAGGGCCAAATTCTTCCAGGCCTGGGTACACAGGAGCCAAGCAAAATATGTTCATTGGCATTTCACTTGCTAAACACTCTCCCGGTTTGCACTGGAAGTTGCACCCATATGTCCTAGAGAGGCTCTTTGGCTCCATCCTGGCCATGTATGTGCCTTGAGCTGTGCTTTTCACTGTCTCATTTTTTGCTCTTAAAAAAACCCAAACAAACAAAAAAACCAAAAGCCCACAAAAAAACCCACCAAAAAACCAACAAAGCAAGCCCTCATTTTAGGCAGAAACTTGCAAAATGCAGTGAAAACCGGGGGAAGATGGAGCTGCGGGGGGAATAGAAGGATTGCCCAAAGCTGTACTTTTGTGCTTGGGAGCCCATGTGGTGCAGAGGTCTGGAGCAGGAGCTGCAGCTTGCAGGGGACAGCACAGGCCATTGGGCTGTTTTACCCTTTAATGCTCTGATTTGCTGCAGAGATGAAGATGCCACTGCCAAAACCCGCACCTAAACCTTGCCAGGGCAGATGCTGACAGACACCCGGGTGTTTCTGCAGCCCCTGGGGCCATTGGCTGCGGAAATGCGGGGAGCAGGAGCTGGGTCTGGCTGCAGGGACAGTGTCAGGGAGGAGGGAACACTGCCATGTCCCCTCGACCCCAGACCAGGGCATGTCTCCCTTGCCTGTTGTCCTTGTTCCCACTCTGCCAGCACCCTCCATGGGTTTATTTGGTGGTGGGAAGGTGCTGGTCTGTGGGGCTGCCCTCTCCATCCTCCACTGAGCACCCCTCCAGCCACTCGACAGGGATGTCTCCACTCCCAGCCCTGCTTCCTGCAAAGCTGAACCATCTGTTTGTCCCCTTCCAGCCCTGAAGTGCAGGACGGGTCCCCTGGACATCGTGTTTGTGATCGACAGCTCCCGCAGTGTGCGCCCTTATGAGTTTGAGACCATGCGGCGGTTCATGATGGACATCATCGGCAGCCTGGATGTGGGCCCCAATGCCACGCGGGTTGGAGTGATCCAGTACTCCAGCCAGGTCCAGAACATCTTCTCCCTCAAGACCTTCTTTACGCGGGCTGACATGGAGAAAGCCATCAACAGCATCGTCCCGCTGGCCCAGGGCACCATGACAGGGCTGGCCATCCAGTACGCCATGAACGTGGCCTTCACCACGCAGGAGGGCGCGCGCCCTCCACACAAGAAGATCCCCCGCATTGCCGTCATCGTGACAGACGGACGGCCCCAGGACCGTGTCACTGAGGTGGCCACCCAGGCCCGGAACGCTGGCATTGAGATCTATGCTGTGGGCATCCAGCGTGCAGACATGAACTCGCTGCGGGCCATGGCCTCGCCACCGCTGGAGGAGCACGTCTTCCTGGTGGAGTCCTTTGAGCTCATCCAGCAGTTTGGGAAGCAGTTCCAGGACAAGCTCTGCGGTGGGTGAGAGCTGCTGCTGTGGGCTGGCAAGGGTGTGGGCTGGAAGATCACCCATCCCCTTGGTTTTATTTTCCCCTAGCTCACCTTTCCTCTTACTCACCTCTGCTGGGGTGAGATAAGGAGACCTTCAAAAGCATTAGCGAGCAAGCGCTCTTTGTCACCCGTGCCTGGTAGCTCTGCCCCAAGCCAGAACATCGTGGCAGCAGCAGTGGGAATATTAAAGAGCTCGAAATCCAACGCTGGTTTCCCTGGGTATGGTGGGGATGGGTGACGCATCTCAGAGCCCCGTACAGATTTCGATGTGGCTGTAGCAGGGTCTCCTCCTATGCAGACACGTGTGTGGCATCCGCTGTGTGCACATTTATATTTAATAAAGCCCTGGCCATGTAGAGCTGCTCTGGTGTGTCTGGCCAGGCTCAGCTGGGAGCCATGAGGCTGGTTCACACCATGGCCATGCTGGCACAGACTGAGAGCTCACAAGCTGGGACCTGTCTGTGCTTTAGTGTCTGCTGAAGGGCAGAAGGCAGCTGCCAGGGTAGGGGTCCACGGCTGACCAGATATTGCTCCCTGGGGCCCTGATATGCTCCTGCTTCTGATGCCTTTGCTTACAGTGTCGTGCCTGTCCCCTGCCTGCCCTGCTGCCCGCTTCCCGGCCAGCTCTGCCGGCTCCTGGGCACACGGACACACAGACCCAGCTCCTTTGGCATCTTCTGGCTGAGCTCAAGCTTTCTCATCTCATCTCATCTCATCTCATCTCATCTCATCTCATCTCATCTCATCTCATCTCATGCTATCACCAGTATCAGTTAATATTGAGTGTTGATTTCGTACTCAGGCAGATCTGAAAGCTGAGGCAGTTCAGAAACCTGCCCTGTTCAGTGTCCATGTCCATGCACTGGAAATCAGTGAGTGGGGCCATCTGGGTTGTGCTGGTGGCTTTGGCTGCAGAGACAGAGTGTGTGCTGGAGTGGGGGTCCCTTTGCATTCAGTGTGCCCGTGGGCCACTCTCATGCCCTATCTGTCTTGCAGGTGTGGACATGTGCGTAGAGCGGGAGCATGGCTGCCAGCACAGCTGTGTCAGCACCCCTGGCTCCTTCTACTGCGAATGCAACCCGGGCTACAGGCTCAACGCGGATGGAAAGACCTGTTCCTGTAAAAACCCTTTTTAGAATCCTAATTCTTGTAGAGGACTTGTAGTAATGGGTCTCAAGAAAGGAGGCTGAAATGCAGCAGAGCACCCTGCAAGGCCAGCAGCAGCCTGGGTGCTGCATTCACTGGGCATGCAGCCTCCCGGGTCTGTGATGGCTGTGGACGGTGCTCAGCAGTGCTAAATCCTGGCCACCTCTCTGGGATGGGACACTTGAGGCTATGTGGGCACACCAGCTGCCTGTCACCTGAGGGAGCTCCAGGCAGTGGGCATCAGAGGATGCACGTCTCAGCCCAATCCCAGCCCAAGTGCACAGTGTTTTGGCTCTGTATTTTGAGTGCAAAGCTGTATTAGTTGATTCTAATAATTCTAATCAGCTCCTGGCCAGCACACCGGGTCATTTTCTTCTTGTCTTATGGCCCTGGGAGCTGCCTCAAAGCCCTGGAGCAGTCCCTGCATGGCTGCCCCAGGGAGGCTGGGACAGGAGGGTGATGGGTGTCCTGTTGCCCCGCAGACATCGATGCCTGTGCAGACGGGAGACACGGCTGTCAGCACCAGTGCGTCAGTGCCCGTGGGTCCTACTCGTGCCGCTGCCGTGTGGGTTACTACCTCAACCAGGACAAGAGGAGCTGCACTAGTGAGTGTCCTCCTCCCTGTCCCTTCCTCATTTGCCTCTTGCTCTCCCTCTTGTCTTTCCCTTTCTGCCCACCGCTCTCCTTCTCTCACCAGTGATCGATTACTGCAGCTTCGGAAACCACAGCTGCCAGCACGAGTGCGTGAGCATCCCCAACGGGCACTACTGCCGCTGCCGCAGTGGGTTCACACTGCAGCCCGACAGCCGGTCCTGCAGGGGTACGTCCTGGCTATGGTGTCCGGTGCAGGACCTTTCTGTCTAGCCCGGTCCCCAGGGGAAGGGGAATTCCTGGGCCACCCCGCCTGGATGGGGATGACCCTGTGCCCTTGGCTTCTTTTCCAGCCACTGACCTCTGCAACGGGGTGGATCACGGCTGCGAGTTCAGGTGTGTGAGCACTGAGGGCTCCTACCACTGCATGTGTCCCGATGGCCAGCAGCTCCAGGCTGACGGCAAGGCGTGCAGCAGTGAGTACCGGGATGTAGCTCTGGGCATCCTCCTCGTCCGGGCTTTGTGCTTTTGGTGAGGGCTTACCTGAAACTAGGCTGGGGGATCTAAGTGGGACTTTGAGCTGGGTTGGAAGAGGATGGGGAGCTGGCTGGGCTTGGGGGAGCACCCCAGCTGCTGTGGGGATGGATGTGTGTTGTGTCTTCAGAGACATGGCCCAGAAGATGCAACAGGAGCTTTGAGGAAAGGTTCAGGAAAAGGGAGGCCTAGGAAAGACTTTCAGGGGTCACTGGGGTGGCAGTGAAGGTTTTGAGGCAGAGACTCCTGGGCGTGCTTTGCCCTCCTTCTGTCCTCAGCCTGACTGCAGGTCCAGGGGGTCCACGTGGTGTCCCAAGGCCCAGCAGCTCTGCCTCACCCATGGGCATCTTCACCCCAATGGTGCCCATGGCCAGGCTGGTCCCTTCTCACGTTCCCCCTGTGCCCACAGAGTGTGGGGCTGGGCATGTCGACCTGGTGATGGTGATCGATGGCTCCAAGAGTGTCCGGCCCCAAAACTTTGAGTTGGTGAAGCAGTTTGTGAACCGCATCGTGGACCTGCTGGAGGTGTCCCCCCATGGCACGCGGGTGGGGCTGGTGCAGTACTCCAGCCGCGTCCGCACCGAGTTCCCCCTCAACAAGTACCACAGTGCTGACGAGATCAAGAAGGCGGTGATGGAGGTGGAGTACATGGAGAAAGGCACCATGACTGGCCTTGCCCTCAAGCACATGGTTGAGCACAGCTTCTCTGAGCTGGAGGGTGCCAGGCCTCTCTCCTACAACATCCCCAGAATCGGGCTTGTCTTCACGGATGGGCGCTCCCAGGATGACATCTCCGAATGGGCCAGGAGAGCAAAGGAGTCAGGTGCGGGGGGCTAGAGAACCCCAAATTGCAGTGCTTTGGGCATCCCAGGGTGGTTCCTCGGGATGGTGGGCTCCTGCCTGTCCTTCCCAAATTCCTGCTGTGTATTTGGGAAGCCCAGGGGAAATCCTGCATGCCTGGCTTTGCTTGCTCTAGGTATGGGGCTGTTTGATGTGTGGTGACCAGCACAGTGCTCAGGATCTGTCCTTGCCACGCAGGGATCATCATGTTCGCCGTGGGGGTTGGCAAGGCAGTGGAAGAGGAGCTGAGAGCCATCGCCTCCGAGCCGGTGGAGCAGCATTTCTCCTACTCTGCAGACTTCACCACCATGACCCACCTCGTGGAGAACTTCAAGCTGAACATCTGCCCAGGTGGGTGCCCTGGCCACACCAGGGGCTCAGCCTCAAGCTTGGGGGAGCCTTCCTCTCCCCACAGAGCTAGTGGGGTAGTTCATGTGTCTGTCACCCTGCATCACGTACTCCAGGGCAGACCTGGCCTGGTGTGAGCCCAGGCTGGATCCCAACAGGCTGCTGTGGGTATGGAGGTGGGTCTCAGGGAGGGATTGGGAGTGGAGCTGGGGGTTCAGTATAAAAGGGGTGGAGTGTGAGCAGCCACCCCAGTGCAATTGCATGGGCACAGTTTGAGATTGAGGGATTTGGGATTTGAGGAGGGATTGAGGGCATCTCTCTGCCTTGAGGGATGCTGCCCCATCTCCAAGGGTAGTCCATCTCCTCATCCAGACCTGCGCTTCTGTTGCTACCAGGTGGAGGAGGACCATGCTGGGTTACTATGGAGGTCTCCCTGCTGTGGGGCAGGCTGGGGCTCTCCAGTGCTCTTGGGACCCCTGGGGATACAGCCTGATGAAAAAGAACAAGACTGGAGAAAGAGGAGGAAACATGAGAGCCCCGAGGGTCAGGTCCAGCCCCAGGGGTGGCTGCAGGAACAAGGGACTCATACTGGGTGGGAGCAGGTGAGAACTGGACACCATGGGGCTGTAGCTCTGACTGCACCCAAACCTATGCATTCACAGAGGAGGGCAAAGGGGAGATGGAGATCCGCAGCCCATGTGAGTGCGAGGCTCTGGTGCAGTTCCAGACGAACACTGTGGCCATCCTGCAGAGCCTGACTGAGAAAAATATCCTTTGGGGTGATGCTTGAGTTTGCTGGGGTGGAGGGCAGCCTGGGGACAGACTACACGTGGGGAAGCAAGGGATGGCTAAATGGGAGCAGGGAAAATTTTAGGCTCTTTCAAAGGCAAGAAGCCCTTTGCCCACCAGAGCACCTGGCTCATGCTGTTTCCTTAGCACGTTCACTTGCTCAGATGATGGCCAGGCTTGAAGACTTGGAAAAGCAGATTGTCAACAAGAAGTGATCCTTGCAGAGGGCTGCAGTGCTCAGACGGGACACAGGGACATACAGTAGCTACGTGGCATTGTTATTGCTAGGTTATTGTAAAGCATCAGTGTTTGTTCTTGTATCGCAAAATCCCCAAGGGGATGTGGAGTGTATTTAAAAAAAACCCCCTAAAAATCCTTAAAAAAAACCCCCTAAAAATCCTTAAAAAAAAACCAACAACAAAAAAGAACTTGAGCAAAACCCCTGCTGCAAAGCCAAGGAGTTCAGCTATCGCTGTTGGCCTCCTTCCTCCAAACTGACAGGTCTGGGATGAGGTGGGACAGCTGTGTGGGTGGGCTGGGCTTTGGACGAGGAGATGTGGCACCCGGCCTTTTCCCAAAGTGGGTGGGATGAACCAGCCCCTGAGCAGCCCCCTGACCCCTAGCGCCCAGCAAGCTGCTTTGCAAGAGAAAAAAACCTACAGTGATTGCACCCTGAGAGCTTATGCTGTCTCGTCGTCTGCTGCCAAGTGGCTGTCTCGTCGTCTGCTGCCAAGTGGTGGGGCAGTGCAGGGGGATACCTGCACCCAGGTTTGCTCGGCTGGCTCCCGGCACCGTGCGCAGCTGTGCATCCATGGGAAAGTGGCCTGCAGGAATCAGTGGATCCCCTTGCCCCTGTTTTGGCAGAATTGTTTGGGAATTGGTCATTATCTTCTTCGGTTTTTATAATCACATAGCAAAATGGTCATAATTCTTTCTATAAATATCTACGTGTGTGTATATATATATGTATATTTCATTTTGAGAGCAGGGTAGTGCTATTTTTAAACACTTCTTTTATATGAAGAAATTTCTATTCTGACAATAAACACCCTGAAGATTTGTATGACATGTCCCTCTCCTTTCAGCTGCAGGGCCATGGAGGCATGTCTTCATCAGAGCAGGGGGCTCCGCCTTTTGCAAAGGCTCCCTGTCCTTAGGCTCAAAAATCCCCCAGGAAAATCCTTGCTGTATGGGTCAGAGGGATGAACTGGGAAGTGCTCAGGTGCTTTACAAGGCAAGGAGTGGGGGTTTTTTTCCACGTGCAATCGAAAGCAGCAGGTCTCTAGTTCAGTGTGGGGTTTTGATGGCTTCTGAGAGGCGCTCTTGTCCTGCCTGGCATTTGTAGCCTCATTATATCTGTTTGCTGGGCCAGCAAATGAAGCTCATTAGCTCTGCACATATCCCAACTGGCAGCTCCATGGCCCTCCTGTCAGCCCTGTATCCCACCTATCAGCCCCATATACCATCCATGTACTCCCCCAAGTCCCCCAATTCTTCTCAGTCACACACCCTGCATCCCAGGAAACACGCCTAGGGAGGGAGTGGGTTAGGAAGTTGCTGCTGATCCTAAGCCACATCCGTGCCAGATCCAATCGCTACAGACCAACGAGGCATGCTGCAACCCCGCAAACAAGTTCTGAGACTTCCCTGCTATGTATGCAGCTCACTAAAAAACCAAAACAAACAAAAAAACCCACAGTAACTGAAGGGGGAAAAAAAAAAAGGAATAAAGGAAACAATTAGCTGAATGTGGGATTTAATAACAGGCTTGATTAGAGCAGATAATGGCACGCCCCGAGGGCGTGATTAAGCCTCGGTTGGCCCAGTGTAATTTTGGCAAACATTAAGGGAAGTTGTAGCCAAGGTGGCGCTGACAGGGAGCCGGGGAGGCTCGATGGGGGCTGGCAGCGCGGCGTGGCTGTGGGGATGGCGGAGCAGCCGTGGGGAGGTGGGACAGGGGAGATGGGAAGCACCGGGAAGGGCAGCAGGAGCTGGGCATCTGCTGAGGTGGGATGTTGGGGAAAGCACCCCGAGGACAGGCTGTGGGATCGGATCTGGGAACAGGGCCATGTCTGCATGGTCCTGCTGAGCCTCATTAATGGTTTTCACTAGATGGCACCAGACACCAGCGCTAATGAAGGTGCTCTGGGCTGGGGGTACCCTCTTCTCCGGGCACCCCAAGGTGGTGGACCCGGCGGGGGGGAGCGAGCAGGGCATCTTAAGCCATGGGTGGGGATGGCTGGACGGAGCTCACCGTCATTCCATTGCCCAGTAAGGGACAAGGGCTGCTGTGTGGGGCAAAAGCTTGTCCTTGAGTGCTCTGTGCACCCTGTTAGGGTTGGGGCTTGGCCATGAGGTACTGGGGTCTGCTGACCTCCCTTTTTGCCATCCCTGGGAAACAAAAACAGAGAGCCCTGGCCTGGCTGGGAAATTGCAGCGTCAGCCAGCAGCATCCTTGGTGTTGCCCAGCCCAAGCCTTGCTGCCTCGGAAAGAAGAATTTCATGGGAAATTGCAATAGAAGCAGATTTTGGACTTTTTCCCCTATGGACTCACTATGGATAAGGCACTATCAAAAGTCCTTCAGATGGATTTCACCCATAACCTTCCCACAGACCCCCTCCCTGCAGCTGAATCCAAGTCTTGCTTCTTGGTGTCTTCTCCATTCTCAGAGATGCAGCTCCAAGCACCACCTCGGCCAGATATTTGCACTAGCACAGCACTGTCCTCTCCAGCCCCGGCAGCAGCTGAGTGCCAAAGGATTGCTTAAAAATTAAACCAATGCTTGTATTTCTCATTAAAAGTGCTAAATTGTTGGTCCATGGCCCAGGAAATCTATTTGGATTGGCTAAATACTTTCCCAGTTATTTAATAAAGGACTTTACAAAGAGCTAAATGCAGCCACAGAATCATTAGGGAAACTGGACAATAATTAACAGATACCCAGTAAGTTAAGGTCCAGTTAATGTGGCACGTCGAAACACAAGATGGGAAGTCCGAGGGGGAACAGGCAGGGTGAGATGCCCACCATGCCCTGTATGGAAAGCAGGAGCTCTAGGGCCTTCAGAGGCTGGGGCAGGGCAATGTTAGGGACCTCAAGGGCTGCACGGAGCACACAGGGGCAATGCCTGGGCTTTTGCTGCTCTTTGCCCTGTCTAGTTGCAAAATCAGGGGCTGCCTCAGCCTGTCCTTTGCAGGAAAAGAGGTTGTTTGGCTGTGGGGTGCCTTCCCCTCCCAGAGCATTCCCAAAGTCTGTTTCTAGCACAGCTTGGGCTCCTGCCAGCCCCAGAAATCCCAAGGAAAGGCTCCAGGAACCTGTTACACAAGGCAAGGAGGGCATTGACCCATTGGTGGGAAGTGGGGTAATTTCCCAATGCCCAAGAGGACCTAAAGAAAACAGCTTTGCTGGGAGGCTGGGTACAGTCTCCTTGTGAAGGAGAAGATGGAGGCCTGAAGGCTGGTGAGCTCTTTGCCCTTTGAACAAGGCCCCTTGTCCCTACAGCCAGCAAGAGCTGTGGCTGCATCACACCAGGGATGCTTGGCTGATGAGAGGACTGTGTGGAGCTAATGCTCCTACCCTGGTGAGGCCAACCACTGTATTCCAGCACCAACCTGCTTCCTACATGGCAGGGGCCATGCAAAGAAGATGCTGGGGTTCAGGTGACCCCCACTTTGCTTGGGAAAGACTCACCCTTGGCTAAGATAAAGCTGCTTTCCCTGCACTTGCTTACACCACCAGTGCGGCAGAAGCAATGAGTGTCTGGGGCAGGGGCAGGTTTCCTCTAGGTAAACCTCAAAGGATCATTCCTAGGAAGGCAAAACCCCATGCTCTGGACCATTGCTGATATGAAACATGGTGTAGGGTTCAGTTTGTGGGTCCACATGGAAGCAGGTTACTGAGGGAAACACACATAACAGACCCCAGAAGTGAACACAGCATGGTCACAGTAATAGCGTCTCCTGGAGAAGCGTGCCTGGCCAGGGGAGAGCAGCTCCGCCACCTCCATCCTGCTTGGAGGATGATGCCCTGGACCATCTGTCCTTTGCTCCTCCCTCAGCCCCAAGTGTGGCTGCAGCGAAAAAGTTGTGCAATGGAATAACTGCCTTTTTTGTTGTGCAAAAGGCTTCCAGAAAACGCAACTGTAACGGTAGAGGAAAAGGTACAAACATTGGCACGCACCCAGACCAATTCTCCACCCCCATCCTCCCCAAGGGTTTAAATTTTGGCATCCCTTAGCTCATCACACTCACACCTCTTGGGGACACAGCAGCATGAAGTCAGTGGCCGCCTTCCTTCTGGTGGGGATGCTCATTCTCTGGGCAGAGCTGCCAGCAGGTATGAGATGTCCTAGGATAAGGCACAGGGAGGAAAAGCACAGGGGCTGGGAAGGAGCTGTGTTTGAGGGATCCTCTGAGATGAGAAAGGAGGGGGGGACTTTCTGGGGAACATCTCCCCAGGGTCCCTCAGTTGCCATCAGCTTGGAGCAAACACCTCCCTCCTCTTGCAGGCAGCGCCTGGTCCTGTCCCCCCATCCGATTCACCTGTGCCATACCCAACCCACCCAACGAGTGTGATGCCAGCCGCCCATGTCCGCGGTTCCATAAGTGCTGCCGGTCCTCCTGCGGGATGAGATGCATCTCACACCGATTTCCCCGTTCCTTCTTCTTCGGTAGGGTCTCAGGAGCACCCCTCCTGCACCCACCTCCTTGGGGAGCAGAGAGGGGATACAGTGCCAGTGGCTTTGGGCAAGGAGTTGTGTCGAGCTGCCAGAGCCTTCCACTGTGGGGCTGGTGGGGTGATTGATGGCCAAACGTTTGGGCTGTGGACACTGAGCACCAGACCCATCCTGTTGCTTTCTCTCCCTTTCTCCAGTGTGAGCTTCTGCTCCCAGCACAGACCAAAGGCCTCTTCAGCATCCTCGTGCCACTCTGGTACCATCCAGCTGCCCACACCTCTGCTAATGCTTGTCCTGCCCAATGCTGACTCCTGGGAGGATGGGGACAGCCACCAGCCCATGCTCGGAGACCACCCCAGCTCCAGGACCACTAGCTTACAGCTGCCACGTGGTACTGTGTGCCCCCTGCTCGTCCTCTCCCTCTGCTTCTCCACTGCTGTTTTAACAAATAAAGAGCTTATCCTAGGGTTGCCCACGCTGTGCAACTCCTTCCCCCACCTCCTCCTGCCAATAAAGAGCTTATCCTAGGGTTGCCCACGCGGTGCCCCCCCTCCCCCCCCCCCCCCCTGCCGCTCTTTGTGGCTGCACACCCAGAGTGTGGTTAGGGGCTGGCTTGGAGGAGTGAATCCATCCAGAGGCATACAGACCCCAGGAGGAGAGGGCAAAGGGAAGGGGCTGGAGCAAA